TTTCTGGGGTGTGGTTGATGATTAACTGTAAGACAGTCTTGAGAGTTTCAACTAAACAAATCATCAACAAAACAACTTTGCAAAGTTTCTCTTTTTTTTTCAATTATTAACTTGCTTTTTTTTTTGCAGGTTTAGATTCTTTTATTGGTAGTTTCATTCTTTCATAGTTTAGGGGCGTTTTTGCGTTGGTTTGTTGCCAGATTCGAGATTTTTTTTTTTAATTGTGTTTTTTTTTTATGTTATAGTTTTTTATATTTTATTACTATTTTTTTTTCAGTCTTTGGAGTCATCGCTAGTGCCATAGTTGGAGTTGTCATCGGGATTTGGGCTAGGCTATTGGTGTTGCTCTTTGGGCGAGTGGGTTTTTGCACTTTAGATCTGCCTTTCATTGTTAATTTCATAGGTTTTGCATTGTCTTGACAATGCCATGGGTGATGCAGCTTTTTTTAGCCCTATTAATGTTATCGTAGATTGGTTTGTCATTTTTGCTTTGTTCTTTAGTGATGTTCTTGTCCCATTTTTTCGTTATTCTCATTCTATTTTTTTCTTGTTTTTGTCCACTGTTCTTATCTTAGTTTCTTGTCGTCTCTTCTGTTTTCTTAGTTCTAAAAAAAAAAAACGATAAATTAGATAAATTATAGCTGTTTTTATAAATTCTGGAACATCTGGCAAAAAATTGACTAACCGAATATTTGCTGATTTGATAAGTTCGTGATTTCAGTACCGATTCAGAACTTATTGAATTGGCAAATATTCAGTTAGTCAATTTTTTGCCAGATGTTCCAGAATTTATAAAAACAGCTGTAATAAAAAAAAAATTGATTAAATTAAATAAATTAAATAAAAACCAATAAGTTAATAAAAAAAAACTGCTCGTCCTGTGTTTTCTTCTAAAGATAAAAAAAAAAAGATTAAATTAAATAAATTAGTTAAGTTAAATAAAAAAGAACCGATAAATTAAAAAACCAGTAAATTAAATAAATTAGTTAAGTTAAATAAAAAAAAACTGATAAATTAATAAATTAAAAATAAATAAATAAGTTAATAAAGAAAATAGATTAAAGCTTGGAACCAGGTTATTTTTATATATTAAACCCAGTTTCTACAGTATAATTTTTAAGTGTATATGATCAACTAATCGAATTTGATCACATATATCACGTGCTCGTGTCGTGCATGTGATACACGTGATCAAATTTGATTGGCCAATCATGGGGTCGCCATGGCAACAAGTCGCTATAAAATAATGCCCTTATATTAAATTTGAAAATCCTATATACCAGATGAATAAAAAGTAACTGAACAGTAATCTTTTTTGATCACTATGATTATTATTTTAATATATTACAATAAATTAAAAATTATAATTATTAAATATTAAAATGATAATCGTGATGATTAAAAAAGATCACTATTTAGCTATTTTTTACCCACCCAGTATATATCTAATTTTACAAGAAAAATTTTTGTTAGAGCATTGAAGGCAATTTCATAGACACAATTTTGAATTATAAGCATTTTGACAAATCAAACATTTGTTTTGAACTTTCCTAATCCTGCTTTGTTATACCTGATCTTGAAATTTGTTGCTATTGAAAATTTTTAGAATAGTAGCTGTTTAGTTGCTGCTATACAAACAACCCAGATTTATTTTATTAACATTGAAAATCGAAAGATCATATAGGGATGCACCATTTATCACCTGATTTTTTAGAGTAGGGGGGGGGGTAAGAAAATATTAGTTTATATATATAATATATATAATATATATATTATATATATTGTATATTATATATATATATATATATACATGGGTTACATATGATCCGTGCAATAATATGCTGTATATTACAAAATTGTGTCACATAATATAAGTAAATGATATTCTAGCGAAAACCCGCTTTTATGCTTTATATTTTAATTTTAAAGGATTTAACCTTTAATAATATGTATATAGTGTTAAATAGATCCATTCTTAAGCCACGCTAGATGTATTATAGTAATTTGTAAAACCTTAGTATGTAACGTTAAGTAGAATTTCAGTTATAATAATAGTTATATAAGTATTTTAATTTTTTTCTGTCGCTATGTATATATGTATGTATCTACGTACATACTTTAAAAGAATTAGCATAACTATGAAAGATTTGAGCAGGCTTTAATATCGGAAAAGCGTAAGTTATTTATTTAAAACAACAGTACAAAGTAAAATGTATACAACTCGTAAGCAATAGCCTGATCAACTTGAATTTTAGTAAGTTTTTAGATTTGCTAATAACTGAATACATGTAGAATCTGGTGGGTTTGATATTTGTAGGGATATTTTGTTAAATTTATAGTTGGTAATATTTTAATTTTGTTATGCAAGATGAGATGAAAGAATCATTTTGATTGACAAAGAGCCATCGAAATAATAATGTTCTTGAAGACTTAAATATTCTATTTTATATTTATCATGTTCACTTTTTTATAAATTTATTCTAATATCAATATTTTCAAGTGTATTAGTTTAGGCTTATTAAGATTAGAAATACAGTCACACCTTCTTAAGTGCATCTTTTCAGAACCAAAGTTAAAAATTGCAAATTGTGCATTTAGAGAGAGATTGCAATTATATATATCTCTCTTATAAGCTGGAACCAGGCATTCAGAGAGGGCTATATAGTACTTGCGCTTAGGGGTGCACTTAAGAATCTGACTGGATTAAAAAAAATTTGAATATATACTATTCAATGTCTGATTGTTCCTCTCGCCATTCAATAACTACTTGTGGGTTTGATTGTAACATGTCTTCGGCGGTATTGGTATTGGAAACAACCGCATGTTGAGGTGGATATCCATAATTTGAAGTATGACTATTTTGTTTGTGTTTAGCAATGTAATTGAGGGTAGGAAAATACTTACTACATATGTTACAACATAGTCATTGATGAAGCTCTTGTGAAATCGACAGGCAACAACAATCATATAGTAAGATTTTGAGTTTATCGTAGTATTGCAGAGCATGTATAGGGTTAACAAAATGTTGATCTTTGGCTTTCATAAGAGGGGGAGAAATCCATCGTTCTGATTCAAAAGAAGGGCAGCTTCAGATGCTTTATATTCTTTACAACACCAAGGATTTTTGTATTTTTTTATATCTAATGAATAGCAACATATTTGTGTATGATCTTCTATCCATTCCCATAACGTTGAAGATTCCAATTCAGCAAATAGTTGCTTTATTTGGTCCACATACTCTATAGTAACAGGCTTGCTATGTATGTCATCTTTTTTTCATATATTGCATAGACTATTCCCTGCAAATTCAAAATTTTTATGTGCTAAAACCTCATCTATTACTTTCCCTTGACCATCTAAATAAGACCCAAATTCATTAACAGGTAACGTGATTCCGGCAAGCTTTCCAGACAGAGAAGCCATACTACGCTCTACAGGGTTGTATGCACTCTGTCCAGGGGCATGCGTACGAATAGTAAAGTAATCAAGATCATATTTATAGAAGAAATTGCAATATTGAACTATATTTTTCATATGCCTCAAATTTTCATCAAGTCCACTATCTACCAAAAGAACCCAAATGGGTTTAATTTTGCTCTCTTTTATTAAAGTTGCAGCAAACTGTTGGTTAGAGATGATACTTTGAAGATCTGACATATGAGTTAAGGATGATGTACCAACAAAATGCTCGGGCCTAACAAAGATTAAAAGTTGTCCTAATCTAAGATTATCATTTGAATTGGCTAGATCAATAACAAGATAAACAGAAGGTATGAGTTTCATTTTGCTACCAGCTAGAAAATCGTGATCGGCAACCAAAACAGGTTCGTTGATAGTTTGTATGGTCTTAAATGTGCGCCCAACTGCGAGAACGCCTAAGCCAATCTTCGCTTTATCATCTTGTGAGATGATAACTGCACTATCAGCAAACACTTCAGCAAAAGTACGGGCAGCTTTAACAGATGCTAAACAATAGTGTTTATCAACATGAGGTTTCATTTCAGTTCGTGATACAGAGGCGAGTGCAACTTTGGCTGGGTGGTGATGTTGTTGTGCTGCATATGTATGTGGATGGTGGGGCTCAAGATATATGGATATGCACTGACACGACAAGTATACATTGTACTTTTCTTCTAATACTTGGCAAAGGTGTTTTATAGTACGTACTTTAATCACAACTTTTCTTCTCTTTGAATGCACACTTCCAAACTCCACACACTCGTGAATTTTGTTCCACAAATCTGGATAAGCCATTGCTGCCAGTGGCCTTCCAGGTCCCTCATATTTCTCTACAATACCTTCTTCAAGCAATTTCGCTTTTTTTTCTGAAAGTTTTGCTTGTGCTTTGGCATGACATTTGAGTTTTTCTAACCTTGTCTTCTGTTCAGTAATGACTTTTTTCTCATTAATAATATTTGATAATAACGTTTTCTTAAACGATTTATCTGTAGAAATTCCATACATTTGTTCGTACTCTGTTATTTTTTTAGTGGCTACATTTATTTTTTCAACCGAATCATGTTAGCATATGGTATTTTTAGGTAATTCCGCATCAAGTTGTAAAGATGTATTATTTGACAAAGTATATTCAGAATTATTTGTGCTATGTTGTGTAAGTTTTGAATAATGTGAATAAACATGTGAAGGGATAGTATTAAGGTAATTACAAATTCTTTCATCAATTGAAGTTTTATTTTCATTTTTGATTTGCTTCCAAGCCAGGTTACATTCTTGCATGAGTTGTTGACGATTTGGGGTTGGATTGCAAAGAGTTGCTTGTTTATGATATGTGTATGCATTACAAAACTCATGATATAGATTTTGGGGCTCTTTATAAAAGAAAGTTTTATTGAATTTAGGCGTAGATAAGAAGCTTTACATCATGGATTATTATAACGGCTTTATGATTTTTAAGGCAGAGGCACTATAAGTATATTATTATTTCCTAATCACAATTTATAAAATCAATTTCATAAAGTTTTTTTTAATACCAATATGTTTTATAAAGAGTTAATTTTTTTTTATGATATAAAATTTAGAATGGTAAGAAAGAATAGTTATGGTGGTTAGAAAAACAGATCAAGATGCAATTTGAATTGGGTAATAAGATATAAAATCAAAGCACCTCTTAAATACACTTTATATAGAGTATTCGTTCACTTATCAATCAACACAAGACAATAGTTCATGCTAATAATGCACGGTATTTGTTGTAGAAACTATGATCACAATTTTGAAAAACAATGCAACGGCATGTAAATGAATAGACCTACTATGCCCATTGTTAGTATTCAAGATCAGGGATGGTTCAAGTTTAAAAGTCCTTGGCATTACAACTTTGGTAAAGCGGCTGGTTTATGAGTTAGGGTTCTATTTATTAATTAAGGTTTGTACGTTTCTGACCAAATTCTAACTCTATAGTCTGGGTTTAGCATTCAAATTCCAAACTAATATTTTAAAAGCTGTATTAATAATTTTTATTTGAACAAATATATTTTTTATCTTTTATTTTTGGGGGTTTTGGATTTATTTAGGTTTGGTTGATAAGTATATCCATATGGCGCAATATTCTGATATAAGTCTAAATAGTTGGTTTGTATGCATTAGTTAGAGTATTGGGTAATGATATAAAAGTTTTTAAAATATAAAAGTCGAGTATGTTTATATTAAAATGTGCAAAATCATGAGAAGTAATTTCATTAAAGAAGTTCTTATATCAGATGTTTTTACATTAGAATGGTTGCAATTTTTTTTTATTGCAGATCTCATTCAAAAATATATTTATTTTATATGACATGCATGGCCCAAGGTTGCGATTAGTGTTAAATTTAAAAGAGTAAGTATATGGGCAGCAGTCAATAGAAATGAGAGATCTATACATATGATTTATATGTGCAGATCCCTCATTTCTATTGACCGTCACCCAACCCATATGATGAAGAGGCATATGCATAGTAATTCAAATAATGTTCTCATATTCTCTGCATGAATATAAATAAGTATGTAGTGATACTTTATAAATCCCTATTGTCCTATTGTTAGAAATCCAATCAAGTATTTATTTAGAGAACAATATCATAAAGAGCCTTTTTGAATAGTAGATCCACTATAGATTAGACTCGTGTACGAACCATAGGATTTTTATTAAATAAATGCAGATAAATGCAAAGTGTGTATGCACTTTAAAATTTATCTTACTACAATATAAATGCTTATCTGTATGATATGCCCGGATTTATTTATTGAATGAATTATGTGAATATAGATAATATAGTAGCCAATCAAAATAAAGATCAGGTGGGGGTAAGCTAATAGTAAAAAAAATATCAGCTGATAAATGGCACTCCCTATACTGCTTAGTTGCTGCTACATGAGTGATCCAGATTTATTTTATCAATGTTGAAAATCAAAAGATTATATGAATATTTGTAAAGAACTGAGTATAAGATACCAATCCATGCTGAATAATAATACTTGAATTACTAGCTATTAAATAAAATACTAGCTATTGTTATCATTATGAAATTAGACTTGAAAATGATGAATATAAAGCTTTCTTAACTGTTAAAAATCTGCAAAAGTGGAAAACGCTAGTGGAATGAATAGCTTGGATACTTTGTTAATATTAAATTAGATAACTATAAAACATATACTATAACTAAATCATTAGCTATTGAAACTATGTATTATTATATATTCAGTAAAAATTTGCAAGATTTTTTTGATTGTTTCAATAAGGTTTTGACTTTGGCATAATAAATATAAGAATTACTCTAAAATAAGTATTATACGCATTACAAATATATAGCCTTATACACTGATCATTTCAAAATTATAATTTACCAAATCTTGCACCTCAGAATTCATAATAATAGTTGTAAAACTTAATACTTAGCATAGTATCAAAATCTAGTTGACTAAATACCTAACCTTATCCAATATACTCTAATTCTAACCTAATTTATACAAAACCTATTATAATCAGTGTTTGAAATTTGTGTTCTCAGAGTTCTCATAAGAACACAATTATAAATTTGTGCATAGTATAAATTTTTTACTGTTCACTATTAAAAATTTTTTAAGAAAAGTAAAATAATAATCGTGTTCTCATAAGTATATAATAGAAAACTATATAATATTAATACACAAAGTTAAATACTAAATATATTATTTCAAAGATTATAAAAAAATTCTAATATCAAATTGGTATTATTTTTTTTTTATAATTATTAAGTGAGAACAGAAATATTTATGTGAGAACACCTATAGCTATTATACTGTTTTTATGAGAACAGTATTTAGATCTGAAATTTCAAACACTGATTATGATATGCCACTGCTTATGTTGATTGCCATCATTACTTTTTAAAGATTGTACCATTGTGTGAAGAGTAAATTTGTATGTAAAAGAAATACATTAACTATATTAACTTACTATAAATTAAAATGTTAATTATTCATTGGTTCAAAAAAGTTGTTCAAATCAAAACTTATTTATAAATTTATCACAATTGTCATATAGCGAAAATATTAAGCAACACACACTACTAGTAATAGCAACACCAGTATCAATTTAGCAATAATATTAGCAAATCGATGATAGAAAAAGAAGTCAATGAAAAGAAAAAGACACAAAAAATGTAAAATTATCTTACCATAATCAACTTAATTAAAACAAGAAATCTACGAAATAGCAATCTCACACATCACAGGTGACATTACAGATAAGCAACAATGCTAACAAGACAAGTGGCAACACAACACCAACAAGAGATGACACTGAACGACACAATACCAAAAAAGAAAAAGACATAGTAGTCATTAAAAAATGCAATATAAAAAAAATTAAACTAGATAATATCGGTAAATAAAAAAAAAAAGTGGCAGAGTTGGCAATGGGTTCTAAATAAATTGTCAATAGATATTCTTCATTGGCATTTGATACCTGTTTATTATAATTATAATAATATGGTTTAGTGTCTATATAAATTGTTGATCAAAATTAATATTTTGTAATATATACAGTGCTATGTGACCTGTACCTATTGTTTTATTTTTTAAAAATTCTTAATTTTTGACACTACTTTGAATATCACTTTGTACTCCAATTCCATTTTGATAGCAATTACTAATATTACTTATTCCCCAAAAATTATTCATATTAGCAGCCTTTAAATGAACACTTCCATTTTCAATTCTTTTAGATAATTGTGTTCTCACAAATTACTTACTAGTTTGGAGAAAAGATTTCATTAATTAGTCTCAATAAACTAAACAACTATTTCGATAAAGATAAATAAAATATAGAAATCAACCTACTCTTTTTTCTAATTGCTAATTTAAAAACTGCATTTCATTGTTTCTAAATGATTTTAGCAGTGTTTCAAGTGCTGGCTAATCACACTAAGGGAGCTGTTTAAGAACACTCTAATTTAAATTTTTGTTAACTTTTTTTTAAGTTAAAGACAAAAAAATAAGTTTATATAATCTATTAATGCCTAATTAATACATTCATTATACATTACTTACTTAAATTTGCTTCTTAAGTAAAGTTTTTAGTGATAATGATCTATACTGATCTTTTTTCATAGAAAATACATGAAAAGTTAAAGAATACTATAATATAATTTAAAAAAAGTTTATTATGTGAAACTATAAGTTGTCAATTGACAATGTGGTTTTTCATAGTAAAGATTACTTTAAATTTTTTTTATATTGTGTAACTTAGCCATGCTGATAATACTCGTATTAGACTAATTTTACTTTTTTTTTTAAATAGTGCAAAAAGCTCTTCTATAAGGCTAAAGACATAGCTTTAACAAACCAAATTAATAAAATACAAAGGTACCAACATTGAGAAGATAGTTAGAAAAACAATACAAAACTGCCACTTACCATATATTGCCGAAAATAAGCCACCTCCGAAAATAAGCTACCCCCTTTTTTCTTGAAAAAAAAACATAAGAAAATTTGTTATTCCGAAAATAAGCTACCTCTGATAATTTCTTAAAATCCAGAAGTAGTCTCTATATATAAAGATCAAAATTCTATTAAGTAAATTGATAAAAGTCACTTAATAGCGATTCTTCAAGACATAAAAATACACATATCTTGAAAGTTTGAAGCAAATTGGAGAACTTTTTACTAAGATATTTTTGCATTTTATATTTGAACATAAAATGCAAAAATATCTTAGTAAAAAGTTCTCCGATTTGCTTCAAACTTTCAAGATATGTGTATTTTTATGTCCTGAACAATCGCTATTAAGTGACTTTTATCAATTTACTTAATAGAATTTTGACCTTTATATATAGAGACTACTTCTGGATTTTAAAGAAATAATAAAAATTAACCTTTTCGAAACTTTACCTGAAAATAAGCTACCCCCATGATTTTTGTGTTATTTTTTTGGCCAAAAAAGGTAGCTTATTTTTGGCAATATATGGTAATGCTCCCTATTGGACAATTTCTTCATCCTACAACTATAATAACTGAAGAAATATTTTTTTGGTACAATCCAACAATAATAATTTAGAATCAAATAAAATTAATGATCCTGAATTTAATGGTTTGGTGTCTAATGACAATAAATCTAATAATAAAATTGTGCCTAATGATAATGATAATTCCAAGCATAATATTAATAATACTATGTCGACATAAGTATTTAAAAAAAAATGTTTAAAAGTTTTATAAATTTTATTAATTTGGTATTTTTTTTTAGCTCTAACAATGTTTCTGAATCCGATCATAGTAATCTTAGAACTAAACTACCGTATGTATTTAAAGTATACTTATAAGGTTTGTAATATATTTATTAATTTTTTATTATTCCAGAACCAATAACCCTAAAACAAACAATTCTGATATGTCTAACTTCACGTTTAACTCTATGTCTAACTCTACACCTAACTCTACACCTAACTTCACGTCTAACTCTATATCTAACTCTTCTACACCTAACTCTATATCTAAATCTATATCCAACTCTACTATGCCGAAATCTATATCTAACATGTCTAACTCTATGTCTAAACCAATATCAAAAAATAATCGCCAAAAAAATAAAGATTCTAAAAACTCTTCTAAAAGTTCTATCTCTTTCAAAAGTTTTTCTAAAGGTTCTTTTAAAGGTTCTTCAAAAAGATCTACTAAAGATTCCTTCAAGAAAAGAGGTTATCTAAATGTTCCTACTAGTAACTTCAATTATATTAGAGACAAAGACAAAGATTATAATAATCATACTAAAATGGAAATTTGATTTTTTAGTAATTGTATGTGATTAGTATTAGCGAAAATTGTAAATATACTATGTAATTAGTATAAACAGAAATTTGTAATACAAATTGAATATATATAATATATATATCTTATGAAAGATAGATATAATAAAATATAAAGTGATACCGGCTAGCCGATATCCAAGCTGAATTTAAATATTTGTAATAAAATTCTATAAAAACTCAAGTATATATATATACAATAAATAAATCGATTGAAATTTTGTAAGTTTTGTTAAGTATAATAAAGTAAAAATGCGATATTGGCTAGTGGATACTCAAGCTGAATTATCAAAAATCTATATAAACTTTAAATATCCAAGCAAAAATCTATATATTTTAAGAAAATATATATATATATATATATATATTCGCTTAAATTTGTAAGTATTATTAAATATAATAAAGTAAAACTGAGATATCAGCTAGCAAATACTCATGCTAAACTATCAAAAATCTATTTGAAAACTTTAAATATCTAAGCCAAAATCTATATATATTAAGCAGAAACTTATATATATGAGTATATACAAGTATAAATTGTTCAAATTTTGTAAGTATTATTAAATATAATAATAGTAAAATGCGATATCAGCTAGCTAATATCCTATAAAAATCTATTTAAACCTTTAAATATACCAAGCTGAAATTTATATATACACGCAGAAACCTATATAAATATGTAGATATGTAGCATAAATAGAAGTATTATATAGATTAATATCAATATATACTAGCCAATATCTTTTGTAGATAGTCCATATATAGGTTGCAGAAATTTGTCAATACGTGCCAATCTGATAAATCACAGATATGTGGCAAGTATCAGTGAGCTATTGGTATAGCACATATCGTCTGAATTATATTAAATTTTGGTAATCTATATATAACCTATCAGCTAGCAGATAGGTTGCTGAAACTTTATTGTTTAACTAGTAATACTTGGTACCTTCACAATTTGTATAGCTTTTTTTTTATCTTCAAAGAAAGTAAGTTATTGAAATTAAATTTATTATTAGAATTATATATATATAAATATATACAAATAATAATAAAAAATTTTATTAAAAATTTTTAGATATTATAAAAGCGATCCAATTATCCAAGTAATGTATAAGTTTTTGACATATAAATCTATTCAATAAATCTTAAATAACGTTGTTTATTATTTTAGTACTTGCTTTAGTTTTCTGCTTATATTTATAAATATAATATATTATGCCAAGGATATCTAATAAAATAACAATTGGAGAACATGTTAGTTGTAAAGCAATAGTGTTACCAAAAAAATAATATCCAAACACTTTACACAAAATAAAAATAAATTAAAAGAACTATATGTTTATGGAATAGTTGTTGGAGAGCTAACTGAAATAAGCATCGAGTGTTTAAAATAAAATTAGAGGGCTTGAAGGAAATATAATTGTAAATGTTCTTGGTAGTAACTTAAAATATGAGAAGCAAGTTAATTCAAATACACAAGAATTATTAAATATAACAGAATCTGATATAGCTCTTGAAGAGTCTTCTAGTAGCAGTGAAAATAGTTCCAATAGTGATAATAATAGTAATGGTAAAATTGATCTTATTGTTAAAGCAAAGTAGAAAGAAAGATTAGTAACAATTAATTAGTATAAAACTTATTTAGCATACAATTATGCATACAAAGTTAATATCCTATCAATTAGCTTTGCTTTATTTTTAGTGCTTTGCAAACTCAAATTAAAGTTTAAATCCCAAATCAATTATTTGATCAAATCAAATATTTGACCAAATCAAATTAACCAAATAGATCAAATAAGTGATTTATATAAGTTTGTTTAATATACATTTACAAGTTCTTTAAAATAGTAAACCTGCTATAAATTAGAGCAAGGTTTAGTGGTGCTACTATGCTACCACATTGAGGTAATTAAAATTTATAAGTTAATAAATAAAATTTTATATACCAAGTTCTGGGTTATGAAAGCTAAAATTTAAAATTTAAATATTATATTTAAAATTTTATATGTTAATATATTATCAAATTTAAATTTTATATCAATCTGTAAATAAGTATACATACCAAATCATAAATGCTAAATTGTAAAATTTTATGACAATACTTTAGTTAGATGCATATAGGTCATAGCTAATTTTCATGAATTTTCAGCAAAATTACTGTGAGAATTATATTAATCGTAGCACTTGTGCATAATGGGTTTATTTTTACTAATTAATAAATAATTCTTACTTAACAGTTAATTCTGAGATTTGAAATAATTTGTATGTATTGGTACTAGTAAATAGGTATTATGATCTTGACTTGTGAGCTTGCTTTACTGATTTTAATTTCACTTATTATAGGATTAATAAAAGATCTTTATATTTACCAATAATTGAAATGATTTGTAGTAATAGTAAGTATTTAGATTATTTTAACTGGAAAACCTAAAATAATTTGTTAATCAAAGTATTTGAAAACAATGTATACACTTTTTTTTAGCTTTGTTAGTTTATTGCAGTACTAATTTGGTCGATAACCAATTTTTTATTTAAATCAATTCAGTTAATATTATTTATAACAATCTATGTATCTATTATTAATTTCTATTCGTGTTGATTTATGATTCTTGTAACTTAATTTTTTGAAAATTTATATACTAAATATTGATTATAAAGTTTTAGCTTATCTAAATTCAACGTTGTATAGTGTCTATACTTGTACTATAAACTATTGTAGTGCTCATAATCTAAATACAAAAAATTAGCTATATGTTTGCTACAATAATTTTATGCTAACTACCGATAGTATTTTTGAGTCTATTATATTAAAGACTAAACAGGCCCATCCTAAGACAAACTACAAGACCAGCAGTTTTAGTTGAATAATTAACAGTTCTCAAAAATCGCAGAATCAAGCTATATTTTATTCTATAATTATCTATAGCAATGATTTAATAATAACTGTTTTTAGTCTATTCCAAAAAAGACAGACCCTAGGACAAAATAGCAGTCCATTGAGCCAATCTAAATAAGTACCTTACCAAGATAGAATAATTTGAGCAGCAAAATTTTTTGTCATACTTTAGACCATATTTAAAAACTAATTTAATCTAAATATAAAGAAATAGCTAATCTCACTATTATTATCGCCAAATTAATAAATAAAAGATCAAATTAAAAGATAATAAGTACTATTTATTTTTTGCAACGATAGAAATCTAAAGTAGATTCCCAGTTATATAAGAGCCTTTCAGGCTCTTATATAGCCAGAGATAATTTCTCTAGTGGAAAATAAGGGTATTATTCTTTATTTTATATAATGACATGATAGCAAACCAAATAAAAACTCCGGTAACATTCGAATTATTTTGACAAGATTGATTTGATTGAGTCTCGATTAATTTGAATTGATCTATCCTTGATACTCCATGAATGTGTAACAATTCTGTACCAATCGAATCATCTTGTTAAAATGATTTGAATAGTACCAGAATTAATTACATTTATGAGTATAAAAGATAAGGTCAATTCTTTATTGGGGCCTTAAGTTAATAATTCCAGTATTATTTTAATATGGTGATTCAATTAGTATCAGAATTATCAAAATTTAATCACATATTCACAAGATATCAAAGAATAGATCAAACTTTTTATCGAGACCTTGGGTCCCAATAAATTTAAATTGATCTATCCCTAATATTTCATGAAAGTTTGATGATTCTGGTACCATTTGAATCATCTTGTTAAAATAATTCGAATGGTACTAGAGTTATTAAAATTTAATTATATTTACAAGATATCAAAGATGAGAATAATTCTTTATTGGGACCTTGGGTCCCAATTGAATTTGGGTCAATAAATCTGGTACCATTCGAATTATTTTTGCATGATGATTCGAATAGTACCAAAATTGTCCAAATTTAATCACATGTTTATGAAATATCAAGGATAAATTAAATTTTTTCATTGGGACCCAAGGTTCCAATAAATTTAAATTGATTTATCTTTAATATCTTATAAATATGTAAATGATTCAAATAGTATTGGATTTATTGAAATTCAATTATATTTGCAAGATATCAAAGATGAGATTAATTTTTTAGCTAGGACCTTGGGTCCCAATTGAATTTGAGTCAATAAATTTGGTACTATTTGAATTATTTTTTGCATGATGATTCGAATAGTACCAAAATCATCTAATTTTAATTATAAGTTTATGAGATATTAAAGATAAATCAAAATTTTCATTGGGATCCAAGGTTCTGATAAACTTAAATTGATTTATCTTTGATATTTCATAACTGTGTAATTAAATTTGGACGATTTTGGTACTATTCAAATTGTCATGCAAAAATGATTATAATGGTACTATATTTATCAAAATTCAATTACATTTACGAGATATTGAAGATAGATTAATTATTTAGCTAAGACTTTGAGTTTCAATTGAATTTGAGTCAATAAATCTGGTACTATTCGAATCATTTTAACAAGTTAATTCGAATAGTACCAAAATTGTTTAATTTTAATCACAAGTTTACAAGATATTAAGAATAAATCAAATCTTTCATCGGGACCCAAGGTTCCAATAAACTTAAATTGATTTACCTTTAATATCTTATAAGCATGTAATTAAATTTAGATGATTTTGGTACCATTTAAATTGTCATGCAAAAATGATTTGAATAGTACCAAAATCATTCAAATTTAACTACATGTTTATGAGATATCAAAGATAAATCAAACTTTTTATTAAAACCCAAGGTTCCGATGAATTTGAATTGATTTGTCCTTGATTTTTTTTTTTTTTTGGTGTTAAAGTAACCTTTTTTGGCCTAGGGACTTTTTATTAGAGTATAACTGGAGTTTTATAATGTAATTACAACAATGGTACATCAAGCTATACGTGCACCTTTTGAGTGCCTAATTTAAGTAGTCCGCCTGAAGGTTCTACACTATCTGCCGTATCTGCACCCCAACTAGGGGGGTACCCATT